AGCTTGGCATGTCTAGAAGTTTGGCATCTATGATTTCCCTCACCCAAAGCTATAGAAAGAAAGTCCAACTGTCCAAGCTAAGAGAAACATGCTTTCATTTTAGTCCCCTTTTTCATATCTAATCTGTAACAAGTATTCCACACACATTTACTCTGTTTGCTTGAATTTTATGTTTATTATAAATGGATATATAAGTATACCTCTTAACACATGTTTTACACTCCAATCCGTAAATGGCTGTCTTATAAATTTGTTATGTCATTTAAATTGACCTCCAATACTTGTGGGTCATTTAGTTTTATGTCTAATCAGTAACATGTATATATTCACACACACATTTAGTGAAAGCATAGGAAGGAATATATAGTACTCTGCTTTTGCTTGAGTTTTAGGCTTGGATTTAACCATTAATTGTTCGCCACTATACATTGTTTAAACTATGAATGAGAGTGTACATTAAAGCCATCTAAGTACTATAGCATGTATAACAAAAGAGAGTTTTGCAGCACAACGCTTTGTACTTGCACTGGAAACTCTTTTAATCTAATCAAACATAAATGCTCATTAGTATTTCTGTAATTATCTTTCTACTATATTTATTTCCATTCTCACATTTTGCCTTCAAGGTGTGTAGAAATAGAGGTATTTCAATTTATGCAGCTCTCTTTAAGATTCTAAATCTCTACTTCCAGATGAATATTGCTATGTTTTGCTATCACCTCATGAGATTCATTAGATGCAGGTCGGAGTGCATGTGACCCAACATTTTGCAATTTTAGAAACAAATATTCTCTCTTTTGTAATGGATTTCCATAACCCAAAAATTTTCAACATAAATTTTTATTTTGAAGTTCGGTGCAAGTATCCATCGGTGCACGTGTTCATCCTACAATGTACTTAGAGTCCATGTCAGTATATATCTGTTTAGTTTTACTTCTAATGATGTAAGATGCCAAAATCGGATATTAATGTAAAGTTCTTCATCAGATATAATTACTTAACCAATTTAATAGTATCATAGCACTTATTTATATAAGAGCATATAAGTTGATAAAAATGAATTTGCAATTTTGGTTTTATTTTATACACATATCTATTTGGACAATGAGAATGTTTTTAGTGCTCCATGCACATTGTCTAAGCATTTGCCCGAAGATGAGAGTGATAGTGAAAATTTAGCTTGGACTTTTTAATTTCTCTTAATTATATTTTTACACCATTTATTGGTTTTTATATTTATTCAGTTATGTTAGATTCATAGTTAAAAGATTTCTTTCTCATCTCAATAAATTAAATATTTACACTTGGTTGTCATACTTTTCACTTTAAATATTTGATTTTTCACTTTGACATTGGATTTACATATTTTTTCTATTATCTTTCTGAATCAAATAACTAAATGAAGTTGTGAAATAGATAAGTAACTTGATAATAATCATAAACATAGTGCATCGTCCTGACTTTGTGAATTGTACTGTCAGATAGCAAATACATTTATACAAATACAATAGGATATATTAATACATTTGTGCTTTCAAGTTTCAAGGAATATCTAATAGTTTTACCAAAAAACAAAGGAATACCTAATAGTAACACTTCTTCCTTAAAATTTTTAACGTGCTTTTGATATATACTATATCCAACAAAATAATTAAAACAACTCTATTGTGTTAAACCCAATAAATGATTTATAGTTTGAATACAAATTAAACTAATTTATTTAATAATCTACAAAGTAATATATATTCAATCTAAGTATCACTTAATCAGTAGTTTGTTGCAAGAGATCCATTCTCTAGAACTCGATAATGGAATCAAATATTTTGGAGTCCTTACCATGAGTCCAAATTGAAAGTGGGTATTCCTATAATGGTTAATTACTATACGAGGAATCAAATGTACAAGCCAAGGCATCTCGGATTGCATTTTGCCATTCTATTTACTGGATCTGGAGGGTTAGGAATGCTGCTATTTTTGATGGTGTGACCCCAAAGGAAGATGAAGTGTTTGCTAGGATTAAGTACATTGTGTACAAAGTTTTATATACCATCTATCCATATGATTTGGTTGTATTTTGAAAATATTATGCCCATCACCCATTTTTGCTTGTGATTGGCTTAGATGTAGTTGAGGTTGCTATTATGGCACCTTATGTTTTGCAGGTGATGGGTTATCCAAACTTTGGATAGCCTGCATTTTTGCTCACCTTTTTGCTGTACAGACAAACACTTTTGGATGGTTCCTTTTATATATTTACAGTTCATCCAAAAAAATAATTACGAGGAATCTAGATTAATCATCCAACTTGTGCAATGACACTAAACTTTTAGTGATGCGACTTGACAAACAGTTGTCGATGTCCAAATGTTGTCAGAGTCAAAACACTTCGTTAGTAGACTTTCATTGACTCCTTCTGATGTGAGATTCACATTCACCTTCCAGTGCAGTCGATTCCCTCTATCGAGTGAAAATGTGAGGATATTCTTACGATGATCGGTTTTCACTCATGAGCAGCTTTATGTCGTATCTAGGCTCACGATGATATAAAATTCATTTTGTGACAACAATGGTGGACCAACAAATGCAAATTGAATGTACGTGGTGTATGAAATGGATAAAATGGATAACTTTTTACAGTGCAAGAAAAGATGGAAAAAATGGATAAAATGGACCAACAAATGCAAGAAAAGATTTTTACCAATTTATAGTGCTACATTTTATCTTAAATAAAATGGATAACTTTTAATTTAAATTCAAAGGCAAATGCTATCCATTCATTTAGAACAATAATTAAATTGCTATCAAATAAATTATAATAACTTTTCACCCCGGTGAAAAACTAGTCAATGCTTATTAATACGAGTACTTCATAATAAACTTGCAAATGAGGTAATTTGACTTTGACTAATTTCTAATGGGATGAAAAAATAGATTAGTATATATTCGGTACAATGAGTGAAGAAACTCAATATAAGATAAAAATATATACAAAATTTAAAAGCAAGATTAAATATAAAATTGATAAAAAAAAAATAGAATTGGATGAATAAATGAATTCTATTCTAGAAATGAAACAATAAATATTCCTTTTTCTGAGACGATTATAACAAATCATTAATTAATCAAACTCTCAGTGTGTAGCTGAGTGATAATATAATCAGGTAGATTACAAGACATAAAACCATCCGACATAGAAAGAGCAGCCCTGACAAGCCTATGAACTACTACATTCGCAGAACGTCTACTGTGTATGACTTGTATTCTAGCTTCATTTTTCATTTCGAAGACTGAGTCTTATAAGTTATATCATCTACTGTAAAATAGTATCCAAATATGAGTCCCCATCCGAATATTTGGATCTGATTCTTAAAACTGATTTTGCTTCTTCCTAAAGAAGTTGAAGTGTTTGACCGAAAGTGCAGAATAGTTTTCATGCTCTAATTTACTTTTACAAACAATTTTGTTAGAAGCAATTTTGTCGCCATCATCAAATTCCAACTAAACTCCACCCCGAAATTCATACGCTAGAACTTGTTGCCTACTGATATCGTAAAACAACTTATTAAGGAAATCTGCTTTCTTTCAGTAGACTGGATTTGGTGTACGATAAGATTTGCTAATGCGTTTTATCTTCTAAGTATGAATGAACCTTTTCATGATTTTATGCGATTTGTCTTCCATGGATATGCAGATTAATTAAAGGATTTAGAGGTCTTCGCCAATGCCGGTCTTACATAAATTCAGGCCTGAGTCGAGCTTCATAAAATGGACCCCATACATAGTGTTTGTTTATCATATAAATTCACTAAAATTGAATGATTAAATATTACAAAAACGCAATCTTTTACTCCGTAATAAAAGTCTTCCATTATCACAAAACGACATTGAATGTATTAAAAATTACTTAAGTAAAACTCGTCGAACATTTTTAGATACATAATTTAGTGGAATCCTCAACAATATATATTACTCCGTATTAATTTTCTCTACAAATCAACCCTCGAACTAATTTAAGAAGTGCAAATCACCCTTTATATAAGAGGTTCTGTCCGACCGTCACCATTCAGGGTGGTTCCCAGCGAAATTTTTTGATGAGATTTTTTGAGCATCTTCTTCATTAAGTCTAGTTTATCCATACTGAAGTTCAGCTAAAAAATCAACTAATAAGGCAGTCAAATGGTTTTCTGAAATATACTGCGCTGTTTAACTGCGCAGTTATATTAAAAAATTCATTTGACCACCTTCCCGATTGAATTTTTTACTGAAATTTGGTATGGGTAAGTTAGACTTAATAAATAAGATGCTCAAAAAATTTTATCAAAAAATTCCACCAGGAACCACCCCAAATTGTGACGAACTTGGAAAATACATATGTATCATAATAGTAATGTTAAAAAAAATTATGGGCCCTTAGTTTTTTCAATTTTTTGGGGCCCTGAGGCTTGGGCCTCTCCATCCTAACATAAGGCACGGGCTTGGTCTTCGCTTTCTATCAACTTACTATGTTTCGGATTATTCGTTTATTTTTTAAATTCCATGTAGAACTTTCGTCATTAACTCATTATCATGTCGGGTCAAATGCATAAATGGTACCTTAAGTATTGGTAGGGTTACATTTTGGTACCTTAACTCTTAAATGAATCAAAACAGTACCTTAACTATACATAAATGTTTTGAATTGATATTTTATTCAAATTTCCGACCAAAAAATCACACGTGACGGCCAAAATTCTATGTGTAAAGTCTACTTCACCTTATTTTTGTCCATATGGCCACTATAGGATGACTCTACACATGAAATTATGATCACTGTGAAGGATTACTTTGTCGAAAATTTGAATAAAATTTCAATTCGAAAACATTTATCTATAGTTAAGGTACCGTTTTGATTCGTTTATGAGTTAATATTACATGCGTTCTAATCATTGATCTTTTGAATTCCATTTCAGTCAAATACAATTTTTTGCAGTCACATTTGGCTTCGACTTTCATGTACAATAAACATACTCCGTATATGATATTCATTCTTTATTTGAGTTCTTAAAAAGACCACTGACAATGGTATCGAGCGGATGTTAATTAGGAAAAGGAAGAACTGACAAAATGGAAGTGGTGAAAATAAGTCTAGGGCAGAAATGGGATAGATCCAGCATTTTAGTTCCTTCCCTGTATAGGACACTTAGTACATTGGGTTCCCAGATATTGAAATCTCCTTCTCTAGTTTCCCTTGATCATCCCGATGACTGGTCTCAATCTCATGCTGTTAGACATCCTGGCGGCAGTGCATCCCCTTCTCAAAAACGTTCTGGTAAGCAGCTTAAACGTATATGTGTGGAGTCTATAGACATATATAACTCCTTTTCATTTTATGTTTTTGTAAAAGGTCTCCCTATTACTTTTGTCACTCACATGCTATGCTTTGATTATTTGAAAATGTTGAGCTAGGTTGTTTATTGATTGATTAGATATGATCTGATTTATATCATTTGTACTCTATCGTTGAAATTGATTGAATTTCGTTTCTGAGATAGATTTTGTATACAGAAAAGGAGACAGCTAGAATCATTGACGGAAAGTCAGTTGCTGAGGAAATTAGATTAGGAATAGCTAATGAAGTTAGCCGAATGAAAGAATCCATTGGGATGGTTCCTAGCTTAGGTGTGATATTGGTAGGACAAAGAAGAGACTCCCTTGCTTATGTGCGCAACAAAATTACGGCTTGCAAAGAAGTTGGTTTCAAATTTTCATTGAACCATCTGTCTGAGAACTGCAGAGAAGATGAAATCTGTGGTAAGTTATCAAGACTCAATGAGGATCCTTCGGTTCACGGTATTCTTGTTCAACTTCCTTTGCCACAGGTAAGAATTGACCGTTTCATATTAGAGTTTGACTTTCATAATAGAAGTTCAATACGATACGAGAAGTAGCCATATTATTATATGTTAGCTTATTGTTTTATATTTAACTAATGTGGGTCAAATACCTCAAAATAATGGGACTGGACAACTTGATGGATCCTCAGCCCAAACCGCCCAAACTGGGTTGGACAACTTAATGTGGATAAATGAGCCAAATTGACCCCACACGTGCTACCCAAACTATGAGTGGTGAAAAAATCAAATAGGAAGAGTATCATAAAATCTTATATGTTGCTTTATTATTTTATACTGAGGCAATGTGAGACAGATAATTCAACATTCATGTAAATCTAAGCAAATGATTTGGACCTGAGTTTTTTTTCCAACAATAAGCATTGTCATTCAACTATTCAAGACTGAGTCTTTTGTATATTTTATTTAGACTTGATGTCTTATGTTATATATGTGGGGTCTTTTTCTCAGATATTCTATTTCTTAGCAAGTACCCTTTAAATGAGGGTGTGAGAGCTGCCCTCTTCTTGGGTGATTGCAGCATTCCTGAAACTTCCCCTATGCTTTTTCCGGCACATAGCCTTTGTCTTCTACTAGAAAGTCAGGGGCAAAGAAAGTTTCAGTGAAAGATTCAGGGAATAATATTGATTCGACAAAATACCCTTCAACTGAGAAGGTAGGAGCTACTGCACTAATTCTCTTGAAAGATGATTTCAGCATTTACTGAAACATACCCTAATCCTTTCCTTTCCCATCATAGACTATCTCCTTCTAAGAAGCTTAATATGAAGCAGTTCTAAAGATGAACTTTTTTTGTTCATGAGTTGTGGTTGTACTGTTTAATGGCTATTGACTATATGTTGATAAGTGAATTTGAACAGAATTTGGACAATGAAAAGATACTGAATATGCTAAGCATAGAAAAGGATGTGGATGGCTTCCATCCGCAGAACATGGGAACCTTGGCCATACAAGGTAAAGAACCGTTGTTCATACCCTGTACTCCTAAAGGCTGCATTGAGCTGCTTCTTAGGTCTGATGTTGAAATAATGGGGAAGAAGGCTGTGATGATTGGAAGAAGCAATATTGTTGGATTGCCCATGTTTTTGCTCTTGCAGGTATGCCATGTTGTTTATACCTTGTGGTGTGCCTGGATCATGGATAATTTTAGGGGGGGGGGGATTGGTTAGGAAAGTTATTTTCTATTATTTGGCTTTACCTTGGGAAGTGCAATGGAAAATAAAACAGGATTGTTATCTTTTACATACACTAAGATTTCCTAATTCTTATTAGCAAAAACCGAATAGACAAAATGAGTGAACAAAAATCTAAACTAAATTTGTTGAATTTTAGTTTATCATACCTCCCCCACCCTCTCATTTACCTCTATATTATCCTTTCTGATTTCTTTCACTATTATTCCCCGAGTTCCAAATGGACCTTAAATCTTATTGTTGATGAAAGAACCACTCATTTTTTCTCTCTAATGTTTTTGGAAGAGGCATCATGCAACGGTTACCATTGTCCATGCATTTTCGAACAATCCAGATGTTGTTGCCCGGGAAGCTGATATTTTAATAGCTGCAGCAGGGGTACCTAATTTAGTTCGGGGCAGTTGGTTAAAGCCCGGTGCAGTTGTTGTTGATGTTGGCACTAACCCAATAGAGGTACTGTACCCTTCAACGCCTAACATGTTACATTATTATTTTACACTTCTGAGTTTACGGTCATGTTTTGAGCATTGATTTTATTCATCTATAATACCAACGAAATAAATATATCTGGGTGCTCAGAGGAAAATAATGATGTACATTATGTGTATGTTAATTGGTTTTATTAGGATGAAGAGAGTGAGCATGGTTACAGGCTGATTGGCGATGTTTGCTTTGAAGAAGCAGTAAGAGTAGCTTCTGCAATAACTCCCGTGCCTGGAGGAGTGGGTCCCATGACAGTTGCAATGCTGCTTTTCAACACACTTCAAGCAGCAAAACGTGTTCTTAGGTTCCCTTGATTCAAAACTAATTTATAGTTTGAGTTTGTGTAGTTCTGTTTGAACACAACTTTTTATTGACAGTCTTTGGCAGATCCCAAAATCTTTTGGGATTAAGGCTTGAATGTTGTTGTTGTTTGTAGTCTTTTGCAGATCGTTTTTGGTGTTCAATGAAAAGTTCTTTCTTTGGGAAAAAATGTGTGAATCTTTAGTCATTTGGTATGTGATCATGATATATCAATAAAACCCTATAAGTAAAGCTTTTTTGCCTTTGGCTTTAAATTTCCTGGAGTATATTTCAGCAGAATAATAAGTAAAAAGGTCATGCATGCAGTTGAATAATTTTTCAAGGAGCTTGGAAACTTGCCTTGAAACACTTTTGGTAGGAAAACGATCTCTTTATCACTATTCTTATTTCTTCAGTCCATTTATCACGCTTTCTTTCCTCTTTCTATTCGATAAAATGTGTACTTGGAGCTAGATGCAAGAGTCAATTTCCAAAGGTATTTGTATTAATGTATATGATATGTTCATCTACAAATGAGCTTGTTAACGAACTAGCAGTTTATTTACAGCCTCAACCACAGGGATGACAGCTACAATTTTGGGGAGTAAAAGCACAATACCCGAAAGGCTTGTTTGGAAGGTCACACTGAATACCATAGCAGCACTTCATCCAAACACAATTCTCTTCGGAAAATTGCGGGCAACACTTGCACGGTGCGCAGGTGTGGAAAGTCTCCAGCTTTCTCCTTCCAGCTGTTATCATGTGAAGTCTCAACTCTGCGGTGGTGCCCATCGGCTGTAGCATTTTCTCCGTCACTACCTGTGATTCTGATGGCTTATCAACTGTGTGAGATTGAGGAGCTCCTGTGTTTAAAGTTCAGTTTTCAATTCAGTAAATTTAAATACATAAAAACTCTAATATTTTAAGAATTATAACCTAAAAGACGTGCCTAGAAATCAAAGGGAGAACAATAGAACTATAGAAGTACCTAGGGGTGGCCCGGTTCCGGTCTGACCAGCCTGGGAACGGAACTGGACCGTCACTGTGTGGGACCGGTTCCGGGCCTAGGATCGGTGTTAGAGACCTGGACTTAATATGTTAGTAAAATGTAATAGTGGGCTGGGCCAATTAATTAGATAGATTGAGGGAAGCCCATTAGAAAAAGAATACATAAGGTGAGCTGGGAGGAGAGAGGGGGGGTGGGAATTATCTTAGGCTTGGGACTTGGGACTGGGAGTCGGAACCTTGTTACGACTTGGGAAATCTGTTTCGTTCTCTATCTACTTTCTGTTGTACGAACTGAACTACCGCCATTGTTACATATTGAATTTTCTCCATTATTAGCTCTCAAATTACAGTAACCTAACATTGGTATCAGAGCCTTCGTTCCTGTAGCCTATCAACGGTCGTTACACGCAGAGCGATGGAAGGAAGATTGGAGAAATTGGAGCGCGAGTTGGCGAGGCGATCCGCAAACATGAAGCGCGAGTTGGCCAGGTGGTCCGCAGACATGGAGCGCGAGTATGAAAGGCATCGCGAAGAGGACAGAATCAGTAATGAGAAGGCCAAGCGCGATTGCGAGGAGATACGCGAGATGATTAGGAAGGAGCTTAATCACCACTTTAGCGGTCGATCAAAAACCTCCAAAACGAGTGCGCGGAATGGGAGCCGCGACTCCAGATCCTCTGCAGGTAAGTTGAGAACTTCGTCTCACCGTTCGAAGTCGCGAACCGTTTCTGTGAGTTCGCAGGATTGGTCGCAAACTTCTTCTCCTAGTCCGTCAGCATCCTCACGAGCACAAGAGTCCAATTCGAAATTCGAAGTTGATGTTACCAGCTCGCAGGTTACTTCGCAGAATTCGTCGCTACTGGCTTCGCTGGGATTACAAGCTTCGTATCCGGCTATAACTGTTACTACTATTTGGCCACGGTTAAATGAGCATAACCAATTGTCAACGCAAATTTCGTCTAAGGTTTCTGAGTTGGCTCAAGTTTCTAAGCAGGGGGTTTTATTGTTGACACCAAATCTGGAATGGAAACAGGCAGATACTTCAGTTCTGGAATCAAATCCTGACAAGGACACTAATCAACAGACAGGATACTCACCAGAAATTCTGGTGGAATCCAAACAGCTCAAACCTGATATTCCAGGAAATTGGACCTACCACCATGATCCTGCGTTGGGAATGAACAACAGTTTCACCGGGGCTGATGAGGAGAGCAGGTCTCACATACAAATCCATACTTATGATACTCCAAGTGTGCACCGTCAGATATCAAAGGGGATTTCAAAAGGTTTGACTAAGTTTGAGGGCTTCAGATTTGATGGAGATACTTCTAGTAAGAACACTCAAAATGTATTGGGGGAAAGAATGACTGGAAATTGGAAGAAAATGGGTGGATATACTACTGATGGATACGCTGGCATGTTCCTGGGGTCTGACCTGGTGTATATGGCCAGTACATCAACCTTGCCTATCTTAGATCCACATGTTTCATCTGATGGGACTAAACTTGCATTTGGGAAACTCAGTGAGCTTAAGGATGAAAGAAGGACTGATTCAGAGGCACAAGAGAACCATGCTCACCCCTGTTCTGGGAAATCAGATGCAAAGATTCCACTTGGGGTAGAGTTTTCACATGGAAGTTTTGTAGATCGTATGGAGGTTGTGTGCAAAGGAAAGTTTGCTATTCAAGATAGATTGGAGGGAATCCTCAGCTCATACACTGATGCTATTGATGAACGTAACTGGGCGTCCTTTCCTGTACCTGTGATTCGAAGAGTACAACCGGAGCTGGCTGGCTGGGAAATTTTCTCACAATTCACTTCTAAGAACTCTCGTACTGAACCTCATATTGCATTTACCATTTTGGCTGCTCTTTGTGGAGAATCTGCAACTATCCTTAGAAACAACACATTAATTTGGGATGCTGACAGGTATTTACGAACTACACTTGAACATTACCATCAGTTAGCTACCAAGTTGGGCTCAGGATCATGTCATTATATGTACGTTGGTTCCAATAGAGTAGCAATGAGTATTGATGGATTCCGATTAGATAGTGTTACTTCTATGATGTGCACTCAACATGTTGGATATGTTACTGAGTTTGAAGCTGACGTGAATCTGAGGCAGATCAAAGATCTCTTTCCTGGTCTCTTCACAGATGTCTTAATCGTGGGCGAAGATGTTAAGGGGCTGCCAACAGTTTGTATACTTGTTCAAGAGGAGGCTGTAGGTTTTGACTACCTGTTTCTTATGATTAATGCTGGTAAGTGGATCAAGATAGTCAAGAAAAAAGAGGAGGATGGGGAAAATGGCTCTACGGAAACATCTAGTGTCTGCAGTCAGTTAAATGAGGATATATATATTACTGGGTCTCAACACCCTGACCAGGAACTGGCTACATATACTCAAACAAAGCCAGCCTTACAAGCTGCACATAAAGAGACAAGGAAGGTCACATTTGATCCTTTTGATCTTCCAAGCGATGTTGAAACCCTTAACCAGATGGTTTATCATGTTCATGGTGGTGAAATTGCAGTGCCATTTTGTGTGGTGGGGTTCATGTTTTGTCAGATTCAAGCTTCACCCCGATGGATAGCTACAATATTAAAGTGGGGACTGAAAGTGTTGCTTGTTGCTTCCGTTTTCTGTACAACAAGTTGTTTTATCTCTGTTTGGCATGACACTAGCAAAGATTGTTCCCTCTGGAAGCTAGTCCACGGTTTCCCACTCGGCTTTCCAAGAAAGCAAGTGACAGTCAACTCTATGCCTTGGGAAGGTGAAGTTGCAGAGAGGGTTTGGTGGAGTCTTTCAATGGAAGTTGATTGGAGGGATGCTCTTGGGTGTACTCAAAATGCGGCTGAAGATGACATTCCTTCACTGGACAACATCATTGCGGTTATGGATGCAGAATCTAGGAGTAGCTTGGAGACAACTCTAGTAGATGCTACTAAACCAAACCAACCATCAGTGGAAAAATGGGCTAAGCAGAACAATAGAGCTGGAGTTTTTGATGCACTTTGTGGAAGAATAGATGTGAATGAAGTAACGAGTAAGATTCAAGTATGGGAGCTCCTTGTCCAGCAAACAGTGAGGTACTGGGAAGGAAGGGGCACGAGGATGAAGCTGGATGGCATGGCTGCTCTTACTCCCCACCTTGAGGACAAGGTGGTCGTCAAAGGGGGGAGTGATGTTAGAGACCTGGACTTAATATGTTAGTAAAATGTAATAGTGGGCTGGGCCAATTAATTAGATAGATTGAGGGAAGCCCATTAGAAAAAGAATACATAAGGTGAGCTGGGAGGAGAGAGGGGGGGTGGGAATTATCTTAGGCTTGGGACTTGGGACTGGGAGTCGGAACCTTGTTACGACTTGGGAAATCTGTTTCGTTCTCTATCTACTTTCTGTTGTACGAACTGAACTACCGCCATTGTTACATATTGAATTTTCTCCATTATTAGCTCTCAAATTACAGTAACCTAACAATCGGACGGGGGGTTGTTTGAGGGCGTTTCCGGGACTGGGGAAATAGGGACCGGCCCGGCCGGTCCGGGTCCGGTCAAGTTTCTTTTTTTGGGTTTTTTTGGGTTTGGGCCTATGGTAGGTGGGCTGGGTGTTTTGGCGGGGTTTGGGGGGTTGGAATAAATAAGAAAATGTAAAAAAAAACTAAAAGAACCGGCCCGGCCCGACCCGGTATCGGGACTTACCCAAAAAATCCAAGCCCGCCCGGGCCCGACCCGGAACCGGACTGGGCCCGGTCCATCCCTAGAAGTACCTATGGAAGGATCATTGTCGAAATCTGCAAATGAAAAAACTAGGTGTGGACCTTGTCCCGGACCAGCCAGTCCCGGTCATTGGTTGGAGAGTTGGAGAAGCTCGGGTCCGACCGGGTGAAATCCAGGTCTGGGCCGTTTTTGGGTACCCGGGGGGTGCGGTCCCAGTCCAGACCCGGTCTCGTTCTATTTTTTCATTTTTGCCCGTTTCCAAGGCTTAAAAAAATTTATCGGTCCGGGACTGAAACTGGGATTAGAACCGCCCGGTTCGGTCCCCACATAGGTGAACTGGGACTGGGTACCCTCTTGGGCGGACAGGGCTGGTCCGAGGCCCGAAACTGGAAATTCCGGTCTGGGTCCACCCTTAGAAGTACCTAACACCGTCCCCCATGAAGACATGCGATACAATAGTTTTGGAAACCAGAAGGAATGAGGAAGTACTTGAGTCTGCTCTATTTCTATGAGCATTCTAAAGTCCTCTCTGATTCTGTATTCGGTCTAATATTCTGTACGTACTAGTATTGTATGGAGACATGGAGCACTACTTTTACCCGTTGTCAATAAAAAATCTGAATATGATAGATAGTGTTGAAGGACTATTACTGCTGATCTTTGAAAAAAACAAAAAAGGAAAAAAGTCGAACGGATCATGCATAAATGGCGATTCATGTAGTGTCGAACGGATCATGCTGATCTTTGAAGGTCATCTGTACGTTTTATGCATAAATGGTGATTCATGCGAATCGTTGTGGTCATTCCAGCCCGAACGGATCAAAATCAGTAACCTCAGTAGATTAATGGATAATAAACAACGAACAATATATGTGTACACAGTATTCTTGTGTTAACGAATGAGTTTCTCGTGAAGGAAATCATAGCTCACCTTCTTCACCCACAACCAAGTGGAAGACAAAGAGAAGCAGTAGGAATAATAAGAATGATGGCTGTGGGCTTGGACCTTTGGAATGCCTGGGACCTGTTTGATGCATGACCTGTTTGGATTAGCAAAGAGGGAGGCTGGATCATATGCACTTCTTGCTGAAGTAGAATATGTGGTATAGTATATTACAGTATATTTTATTTATTTTAACTCTTGATCATATTCAATTAACGTGGAAATCTTGAATAAATCTTCATCTGCTCAGCAGCTAAGTCAATATAAATGATTGCATTTTAGAAGAAAGAATTACTTTAAGGAAAAGTTGGTTTAATTGAGGAGACTTAAAGAGCTAGCAAAAGGTTTATTTCACGCATTTTTACAGTATGTAAAGCATTGAACTATTTTAGAGACACAAGAACCATATTTTAAGCAATTTTTGAAGGATTCGACACATGAAATTATCTACTTAACACATTCAGAACAAATTCTCTGATATAAATTAACTTAGAAATCATGGATTTCCCATACTCAGGGAGTCAGGGTCAAGACACATGATTGCATTCTTGTTCTTTGGAATAATCAAAATACTTTAGGCCTGTAAAGTTGATATAATACATCTTTTTTCAACTATTAGGATGTTGACAATGCAAAACACACTGAATCCCTCTTTCTACAGTACATTGCCATCCAAAGTTATAGGAATCTTGAAGCCTGGATTTACTCGTGACTACTACTACGTTTTAATTAGAACTAGAAGGTTCACTTTTTAGTTCATGAGTTGTGGATGCTATAGGTTGATAAGAAATTTAGAACTGCATTTGTTCGACAAGAATGATACTCCGTATTAGGATGTTTTACTTGGACTGAAATTTGCTAGTCTGGTCTATTTAAGTTTGGTCTAGTCTGGTCTGGTAAATGTCTGGTCTCTATGTATTTTTATAACGATGGAAGTCTGGTCTATTTAAGTATAATCTAGTTTGGTCTGGGACTGAAAAAAGTCCTAAGTAAAAACATCCTAAAAATGTTGATCAATATACGGATCAATATGGCTTCCATCCACTCAACAGGGGAAGCATAGCCTGGCCATGTGATCAATATAGCTTCCATCCACTCAACAGGGGAAGCAGCATAGCCAGGCCATGCGATGAATGCCAAAAAGATAACAGGAAAGAAAGAAAGAAAGAACGATGTGGCGTTCAGGAAAATCAGCGTTGCTGGATATTCTATGTTATGGCCTTCGCTGTAAATTTGTGCTTCCTCTATCTTATAAAATCAGATGCTGGTCAAATGTAAAATACAAATCAACATGTAAATAAGACGTGTTGACTTCTACACTATTCACATACTCTATTTTGACTAAATGTTACTACGTATTAATTAATGTATTGATAAATTATATTTTGAAATACTTCGTATATTATTAAATTTGTTTCGTTTTGAAGCTTCAATATCTATTTATTTATATATTCTTAGATATATGAATGGTCAAAGGTGTCAGGTGTGCGTTGTCAGACATCGTTAAAATGTAATGTTGCCGCTAAATAAGAACAGGGAGGTGTTATGGGCTATTACTGATTAACGCACGATCAAAGAAAATGAAAAACATGATAAAGGACAAACAAAATTGGCTACATGCACATGCACACGCAGATTCAATTTTTAAGAGGAGATTATTGGCCCGTTTGATAACACTGAAATTAGCTGAATTGTTGATTCTGCTGAAATTTACGAAGTTCTGATTGAAATGATTAGATTTACTGATTCTGATGATTTAAGAAAACAATCATATTTAAAAAATATTTTATTTATAAAACAAAGAAAAGAATGTATCAAATAATAGCTAAAATGCTCCTCTACAGTAACTTTAGCCAATGTAACAAAAAAATAACTTCAACTTTACTTATTTTGATTATTACACAATTTAGCGCACAAAATAAAAAGTTGTGTCTGGTGAAAAATTTGATGAAGAGGTTGTAAGTTGAAAAACAGGGTCTCCATATGAGTACATATAGTTCTTTAAGTAAACTCTAAACATACATATAGTCTCCTACTGTCCTTGCCCAAACCGGTCATTTTGTTGGGATTATTGCATATCGTCAAGCCATGGCGTAACACCATAAGCCCGGGCTACGGGCGCGTCGCATACTCGCACCCATGGCCCCCTACTCATTGGGCTGCGAGACCCATGTGTATGATCATAAAGGCATCAATACTACTCCCTTCGTCCCTTAAAACTTTGTATCTTTTCTTTTTGGGACGTCCCAATTTTTTTGCAATTCTCGTATTAATCAACTAATTTGTGGTTCCTGTTATTTCCCTTTGCACAAACCTCTACCACACAGTTTTTACTTTATTATTACCCGCACTTTACTATTCTCCATGATGAATAAAGTTGATAAAGTATTAAGGGACATAGGGATTAAGATTTAAACTAATCTTTCTATCAGAATTGACTTTTAGGAGGTAAATGTTTTTGTGGCGTGTTTGTTTGACACTAATTATTTGTCCAACGGATGTTATTCATTTTTGGCATCTATGGCATTGAGATTTACGCATATTGAACTTTTGCTTTATAGTATTCTAAATATCTCGACTTAACTTTATTAAAACTGCTTTTATGCATGTTATTATCATTATGTCATCTCTGAATCGTGCAATCAATGTGTTGACACATGATACGGTTCCTTGGTAAGATTACAACCGTGGAATGATGTTTCAAGTAGTCTTTGAGCAGATAATAGGTCTCAATGATACAACACTCTATTAACCACAAATTAAAGTTTTTGTATACAAAACCAAAAAGAAAAAAAACCCAAGAAACACATCTTTAACTTTAGGAAATTGTCCTAAATAGAAGTAAAAACATTCTGGAAATACAAAAAACATTCTGGCAGTATCAGACCTTAAACACGGCAGTAATTTTCAAATTTGATATTAATTACTCTATTTAGGCAATAAAAATATGACAACAATGTTTTAAAGCTCCAAAACGTTTTCACTCCTATTTCGGGATTTTCTCCTTTGACTTTCAATATCATTCTAATAATTCAGCTGAATAGTATGTGCAAATCAATAGACATGGAGGGGCATGGTTTGGCTAGGCAAGAGTGTTGCAGGAAGTGCAGTTGCAAGACTGGGGCACAAAAGCACATACCCCAAAAGGCTTGTTTGGGAGCTGGCAATCAATCCCAAAGCAGCAGGGGGTGAGAGTGCATGTGCTTGGGTCTTCAGATGATTCACAGCATTTGCACTCTGAGCACAGCTGGAATGGATCCAACCTCCTCCGCCTTCCGCCACTTAACTCCATATCCACTATGAACTCTGGTGATGTCTTCAGAGGCACCAGCTGTTTTCCGGCCACTTCTGCTACTGTTCCAAAAGAGCATGTGCCCAATATTAACAAACAAACACACATACTAAGTTCTCGAAATAGGAATAAACAGATTTTGGAATTTAAAAATCGGACTTCTATGTTTTGATTTCTAAATTAGGAGTAATATGGCGGTAGTTACTGTCATCTTGGAGTCAGTACTTCGAATATAGTTGCATTACTAGGCATTAACATGACAATATTTATTGCCATTGATGGTAGTATTTTTCAATTGTGACAATAACGACTCCTGTTTCGTGAAAAGAAAAACATAGTTG